CACAAAACAGAAGACTCTCCCACCATCAAACGTAGACCAGGCTGATTTGTTGTTTTAATGAGACCAGGCCTCACTTTGTAACCCTTGACTGTCTTGAAACTCATTTTGTTGACTAGGCTGGCCTGAGACTCATACAGATCTAGCTATCTCTGCCTCCTGAGTGCTGGGGTTAAAGACATTTTCCACCACACCCTGCCAAGCGTTTTAATGTTGATAATTTTGATGAAGAGAGTGTCTAGAATAGTTTTCTGTTAAATGTTGGAGGTTAATTCCATTTTCTTGGGATTTGGCATTAAAAATCCGTTTGTTTCTATAATAAGCTTTTATAAGTGTATCAGCCTTTTTTTTTGCTATGTAGATATGAAAATGTTGTACTTAAGTAGTGCTTACTTCTCCAGGTATTAGTCTGATTAAATGGAATTTTCTTTTAAGATAATTAACTTAAATTTCTGTCATCATATATGATCTACCTAGTTTCTCAACATTTACATTGACACTACAATAATAAAATTTTTGCATTTCCTCACCAAATGATATGTAATCCCTTCAGATATCTTCATCATATATTTTTATATTTGTCATTATGCAAAATATAGCTGTTTTTGTGCTTCTTTGTTTTTTTTAAATTTTTTAAAAAATATTTATTTATTTATTATGTACACAATATTCTTTTTTTTCTCTTTTTTAATATATGTTTTTTATTGAGAAAAGGAAAAAAAAGTTTCCCCCTCCTCCCAGCCTCCCATTTCCCTCCCCCTCCTCCCACCCTTCTCCCCCTTCTCCAACTCCTTTCCCCCTCCCTCTCCAGTCCAAAGAGCAGTCAGGGTTCCCTGCCCTGTGGAAAGTTGAAGGTCCTCCCCCCCTCCGTCCATGTCTAGGAAGGTGAACATCCAAACTGGCTAGGCTCCCACAAAGCCAGAACATGAAGTAGGATCAAAACCCCGTGCCATTGTCCTTGGCTTCTCATCAGCCCTCATTGTTCGCCATGTTCAGAGAGTCCAGTTTTATCCCATGCTTTTTCAGTCACAGTCCAGCTGGCCTTGGTGAGCTCCCAATAGATTAGCCCCACTGTCTCAGTGGGTGGGTGCACCCCTCGTGGTCCCGACTTCTTTGCTCATGTTCTCCCTCCTTCTGCTCCACATTGGGACTTTGGGAGCTCAGTCCAGTGCTCCAGTGTGGGTCTCCGTCTCTATCTCCATCCATCACCAGATGAAAGTTCTATGGTGATATGCAAGATATTCGTCAGTATTGCTCTAGGATAGGGTCATTTCAGGTTCCCTATCCTCATCTGCCCGAGGAACTAATTGGGGACATCACCTTGGGGTCCTGGGAGCCACTCTAGGTTCAAGTCTCTTGCCAGCCCTAAGGTGGCTCCCTTAACTAAGAATTGTGCTTCCGTGCTCCCCTATCCAACCTTCCTTTATCCCAATCATCCTGTTTCCCCAAGTTGCCCCCATCCTCCCCTTCTCACTTTTCTCTCCCCATCTCCCCTTACCCCCATCCCACCCCACCCCCAAGATCCCACTTTCCTCCCCGGCAATTTTGTCTACTTCCCATAGCCAAGAGGGTAACTATATGTTTTTCCTTTGGTTCACCTTCTTATTTAGCTTCTTAGGATATCCAATTATAGACTCACTGACCTTTATTTAAAGCTAGAAACCAATTATGAGTGAGTACATCCCATGTTTATCTTTTTGGGTCTGGGTTACCTCACTCAGGATAGTATTTTCTATTTCCATCCATTTGCATGCAAAATTTGAGAAGTCATTGTTTTTTGCCGCTGAGTAGTACTCTACTGTGTATATATTCCACACTTTCTTCATCCATTCTTCCATTGAAGGGCGGTTGTTTCCAGGATCTGGCTATTACAAATAATACTGCTATGAACATAGTTGAACAAATGCTTTTGTCATATGATCGGGCATCTCTTGGGTATATTCCCAGGAGTGGTATGGCTGTGTCCAGGGGTAGGTTGATTTTAATTAAGAATTTTATTTAATACAATCTTTTTTTCATTTTACATAGCTATCCCCAGGCCAACTCCCTCCCCCCCTCCCTTCTTACCCTTCCTCTCACTCCACCCCATATCTACTCCTCAGAAAGGGTAAGTCTTCCCACAGGGAGTCTACAAATTCTGACACTTCATTTCAAGACAAGATTAAGTCCCTCCCCCTGTATTAGGCTTTGCAAGGTATCCTTCCAAAGCAAATGTACCCTAAGACACCAGTTTAAGCACTAGAGATAGATCCTGATCCAACTGCTAGTGGCCCTACAGATTGTCCAAGTCTCACCACATCTAATGTCCACAAAATCATAGAAGAAAATTTTCCCAGCCTAGAGAAGGATATGCCTAGAAGATCCAAGAAGCTTATAGAATACCAAATAGACTGGATCAGAAAAGAAGTCACCTCACTATATAATAATCAAAACATTAAACAAACATGCAGAATAAAGAAAGAGTATTAAGCACTGCAAAGGAAGAAGGCCAAGCAACATATAAAGGCAGACTCATCAGATTTATTCCCGGCTTCTCAGTGAAAATTCTGAAAACCAGAATGTCCTTCTTAGTAATGCTGCAGACATTAAGAGATTATAGCAAAACTTTAACATATGGAGAAAACAAGATGTTCCATGACAAAACCAAATTTTTTACCTGTCCACAAAGTCACTATGACAGAAGTACTAGAAGGTAAAGTCCAACCCAAGAAAGTTAACTGCACCCATGAAAACACAGGGAACAAGTAATCCCACTCATTACATTAACAAACCCCAAAGAAGGAAACACAAACACTAGTCCCGAAAAATAAGAGGAATAAACAATCACTAATCATTAATGTCTTTTAATGTCAATGGTGTCAATTCACCTATAAAAAGACACAGCCTAACAGAATGGACACAAAAACAGGAACCATCCTTCTGCTGCATACAAGAATCATATCTCATCCTCAAGGACAAACATTACCTCATATTAAAGAGTTGAGAAAAGCTTTTCCAATCAAATGGACCTAAGAAGCAAAGCAGGTGTAGCTAACCTAATATCTAACAAAAATAAACTTTAAAAGATGGAGAAGAACACTTCATTCTCATCACAGAAAATTCCATCAAGATAAAGTCTAAATCCTCAACTCTATATCCCCTAAATACAAGAACACTGACATATGTAAAAGAAACACTACTAAAGCTGAAATTATAACCAAACCCCAAACACTAATAATAGGAGGAGTGTTCAATACCCTACTCTCACCAATGCACATGTCCACTAGACAGAAACTTATGAGATAAATGAGGACTTACAGATGTCATGACTCAAATGGACTTAATAGGAATCTACAAAATAATTTATTCACACACAGAAGAATATACCTTCTTCTCAGCATCTCATTGAACCTTCTCTAAAATTGAACACAAACTTGGTCACAAAAGATTTCCTCCTCAAATAAAATTGGAATAACCCTCTGTATCTTATCTAACCACTGTGGCTTAAAGGTAAATTTAATAGCAACACTAATCACAGAAAGTTTGCAAACTGATGTGTAATGCTTTAGTGAATCATCCCTGACTCAAAGAAGAAATAAAGTTAGAAATTAAAGAGTTCCTAGAATTCAGTGAAAATGAATGCACAGCATACCCAAACTTATGGGTTTGTGCTTGTTTTTAGCCTTCCTTTGTGTAACTTCTGTTCATCAACTCAACTATAAAAGCTCCAAATAAACTTTATAATATTAATTTTAGTTACACATTTTGGTAGTTTTTCACATCAAAATTACAATTTCGAAAACTGTCATGATTTTTTTGTTTTTGCTGCTTTTTAAAAAACTATCATTTTTCTCCTGAATTATGGTAAATTGCTGCTGTCATCTAATCTTGTTGTCTAAATTCTTTTACTAGTTATTAGGATTTATTCTTATTTATCTTTTTCTGATCTTATTTTCTTACTTGAAATAGGTATCTCAGAGAGCATTCTTCTGTTTATCCAAGACTGTATTCATTTAAAACTTTTTGGTGCATACATTGCTAACATTCTTGAGTGTTTTATGTTGTATTTGTTTGTGTGTTCATATGCATCCATGTGAACATGCAGTGTGCTTGTGCTTGTAGAGGTGAGAGGTTAAAATCAAGTGTCTTCTATCTCTCCATATTGTACTTTGAGTTATTGGACCCTGGAACTCAATAATTAACATTAGTTCCATGGAGGACCCACATTGTCTCTGTATGTTTCCATTACTGAATTTGTGATTACATCCTCTTTTTCTGGGTGATTTTTGCATTATTGCTGCAGATCTGAACTTTAGTCTACATTTTTACATGGCCAAATTTTACTCTGCCAAATAAGCTATAACACCACCCTTTCTTTATAGTCTATTCAGGTACCTTGCCATGCCTCTTGCATTTTTGAAATTAATACCAGATTGATTAAAGTATAGAAGTGTTTGACATATATGAATATAAACTTTTCATTCAGGAGCCTTGCCTGTTGTTAGTCAAAATACCAACATACTTTTAGTATTTTGTGTCCTTCATCATTAACACTGCTTAGAATCTTTCTGTTTTCTGTCTCTTTCTTTCATTAAAAGTAGAAAGCCCTGTAAATTGATATTGATAGACTTATTTTCCTGAAGAAATAACATAAAATATAAAGAATATTTGATTGTTAAAGTTTCAAAAATTAAAATTAAATTTATTACAGAACTCCTCAACAGGTGATTTTTTTAATTAACCTATTGTGCAACTTCTTAAGTACAGGTTTATATCTTTAGCCCTTAAAGTAAAACATTGAAGAAAATTAGGTTGTTTCAGGAGAGTTCATTAACAAAATGTGTTTGCAGATCATTTAATTATAAAGTATATTTATATTAGAATTCTTATATATAAAACTATATCTATATAATGTCACATATTCATTGTAGCTTGTTATCTTCCCCTGTTGGGATATGTCATTTTGGAAAACAAGATATTCATTGATGGAATTTAATTTATTTATAACTATTTTCTTTTTTCAGGTGCTATTCTAGCATTGGGAAAGTTCAGGATGCCTTTGTATCTTATAGGCAATCCATTGATAAATCAGAAGCAAGTGCAGACACGTGGTGTTCAATAGGGTAAGCCTATCTCCCTATCTCCTTCAATACACAAACAAATATTATCTCATACATTTTTAAATTTATGTGCATGATTCTTTTTTGTTCATATTTTTATTTAAACAAATTGGTTTTTATTTTTCATACCACTCCCTTCTCTTGCTGTCTCCTCTTCTCATCCCCTACCCACTCCTTCAAGGGGATAAGGCCTTGGTGAATTCATGAGGTCTTTCATACCAATTTGAGGTAGGAGCAAGCATCTCCTTCCTCACCCTCACCCCAATCAAGGCTGTTTATGAGCAGCTGGCATCAGTTTTCTTGGTGGTGTCATGGAGATAAAAACTATATAGAATTGTGTTAAATTACCTGGCTCCTGCCAGTATCTTCTCCATGAAGTTAGACTATCGGATCTAGTTGCCAAAGCCGTGACTTTAATTTTAGCCATATTGCTTAGTAAATTAAAAACTTCATGTGATCAGTAAAAGATATTTATATAGTAAAGACACACTCTGACAAAAAAAAGTCTCTAAAAGGTTATAGTGTGGTTAAAAATATATGTAAGTTTGGGAGAAAAGAGAAGGATAGAGAAAGTCTTTAAAAAAAGAAAGAAAAACATAGGTATGTGGCACATGCCTGTAATTGGGAGGCAGAGGCAGGTGAGATCAAGGGCAGCCTGGTCTACAGAGTGAGTTTCAGTATAGATAAAGACAGAGAGAGAAAATTTGTCTCAAAAAACTAAAATTAAAAATAAAAGAAATTGAGTTAAATGTAAAAACACGTAAAGATTGAAAATACACAGAGTCTGGGTATCATATGTTATTGTTGTTTTGAAGTGTTTGCTCAGGAAGGAGCAACAGCTTCTAAAAGACATTTGATTATAAGTGCTGCTGGATGAATCCAACTATATGTTTTGGAAATACCTTGAATTCAAAATTTATTTCAAAAGGTATGTTAGTTTGGTGAAGAGGTTTTGCTTTTGTTTTCTCGGGAAAGATGTTTTGGATTCATTCTGGGTTAAGAAAAATCAGGTTTGCTCGTGGATGAAAAATCTGTGATAGGAATGAATGGCCCAAATGATCCAACATTTCAGAGCACCTCTGTTCTAGTTTCCTCTGAGGTCTACATCTAAACAGTCTCAAGACTTCCGGCTGAGATGATCCGCCTCAAAGAATACTGTAATCAGGGCTTGACCATAATGCTAAATTTTCTTGGGACTGTAAGATTATCAGCACCCCCAATTATAAGGATGTAGCCTAGAAAAACTACTCACAAATTCCTGATAAATGGATGTTTGGTGGCAGAACCTCTTAAAAGAGCTACAAGGTTTTTATTTTTTGCCACTAATGCTGAGTCAGGAAGCCTTTCTTAAAGGGGCTGTGGCTTGCCTCTAGAAAACAGCTCATATGAGAACATGCTTCTACCGAGAAGTCATGATTAACTCTGTTCTTTTATGTCTAGAGTCCTTTCGCTGTCTTCTCAGGTTTTATATGGATGAAGTTGAGCCACATTGGTGCCATTTGTAGCTGGAAGTTTCTGTCCTGTGTGGCCCTGCAGCTGTTCATCCCCTCCCAAAAAAAACCTGATCATGTAGCTAAACATAGACAATAATTTAATTTGTAATTAACTTAGGGCTAATTTAAGTTGTAACAACTAGTTAATAATAAGCCTAAGCTAAAAAGCCAATTAGTTTATACTTAATAAATGCCTCTATGTGTCTGAGTGGTGACTGCAGACTGCGCAGAATTCTCCTCATCTGGTTGTTCTGCTTGTACTTCCTGCCTGACCTCTGGCAAGCCAATACAAGTGACAAATCTTTACAGGGTACAAGATTGTTATTTCACAGAAGTTATCCTTTGATTTATGTCTAATATCCACTTAGTGAGTATATACATATTTGTCTTTCTTTTTGGTGACAACACTTAGGATATTTTTGTGGTGGTGGTGGGTGTAACTCTTTTTTTACTGTTGAGGAGCACTCCATTGTGTAAATGTGCTACTTTTTTTTTTTTTAATCTATTCTGTGGTTGAAGGGCATCTAGGTTGTTTCTAGGTTCTGGCTACTGTGAATACTGCTGCTATGAACATGGTTGAGCAAATGTTCTTGTGGTATGAACATGGTTGAGCAAATGTTCTTGTGCACAGGATTCTTGAAAGACACGGTGCAGTAATATAAAATTAAAGTACTCAATTTTTCTTTACTTTTAGAAATATTTTATTTTATGTGTATGTGATAATTTGCCTTCATGTATATTTAGGCACTACAGGCATGCTCTCAGAAACCAAAAGATGTTAGTTTATGGAACTGGAGCTGCAGATTGTTGTGAACTTCATTTGGTTGCTGGGAATCAAACCCAGGTCCTCTTCAATAACAACCAGTCCTTTTTCTTTTTAGTTTTCCTTTTTTTTTTTTTTTTTTAGAGAAAACAATCCAGTTCCTACTATTCCTTCCCTCCTCCCATGCCCTTTACCTTTCTTCCCACCCAACACCCATCCACTTCCCTGCAAGGCACATTGCTCTCAGGAACTTCCAAGGCCCTTCCCACTGTATCCAGGCAGGACAAGGTATCCATTCACTCAACCTAGCACCCCCCTCTCTCGAGTGCTTTTTTTTCAACCCCTGCTTTTATCAACTTACATATTGTATGTGTGTGTGTGTGCGCGCGCGTGCCTGTGTGCTTGCTTGTGTGTGCCTTTCTGCCTGCCTAAATGTATGTATGTATACTGTATGATTGCAGGTACCTGTGGAGGCTAGAAGACAATGTTGGATCCCATAGGATTGGAATTACAGAGTGTTCTGTTTCAGATGTTATGTATGTACTTTCTGCTGCAGGAGTAGAAATTGCTCAGCCATTGAGCCATCTCTGAAGACCCTAATTAGTCTGCTTAAAACAATACAACCAATCATTATTTTTCTTTCTAGTGTGCTCTATCAACAGCAAAATCAGCCTATGGATGCCTTACAGGCTTATATATGTGCTGTACAGTTGGATCATGGACATGCAGCAGCCTGGATGGACTTAGGCATTCTTTATGAGTCCTGCAACCAACCTCAGGATGCAATTAAATGCTACTTAAATGCAACTAGGAGCAAAAGCTGTAGTCATACATCTGCACTTACATCAAGAATTATGTTTTTAAAGGTAACTTCTTAAAATAGAGTATTATAAAAGAACAAATTTCCTAATACAATAAGTGACAGATAAATGGTCGAAAAGTTGTTTAAACAATGTTTATATTTTTAGTTAACATTTGTTTTATGTTGGTGTGCTGTGTATTACTTGTGAGCTACTGGAGTAATTTGGAGATTAGAGGATAATCTATGGGAGTCAATTCAATTCTTCCAGTATGAGGCATTACAACAGCTCTTTTGATTTTTATTTGTTCTATACTTTGTAGTATTTTATACTGTTTCTTTATTTTTAATTCTAATAAGATAGGTAGTATTTAATACATGTTCTGTTGCACTTACATATTGTGATGCCTATCAATTTACATATTGTACATTTAATAGGCCTTTTTTCAATATGGTATCTTTCTTTATTCCTAAGTTTTCATAAACATAGGAAAATATGTGAACCCTTATTTTCACTTTTGATTGAAAAGTAATGGAAGAATAAGAAATCAGAAAGTTGGAAGATGACTGTGTTCTTATTCTCCTCAATATATATTAGTTGCCTTCTTTCTGCTTAAATATCAATCTAAAACTCCCAATTTAGAATTATATTTCTGTAAGAATTAAATACCTATAACACTGAGGAAGATTTACTTGACTTTATCTTACTTAAATAAGATTGTGTTAAATTTGCTTTTTATATAATTTTTCCTAGGCTCAGTTGTGTAATCTTCCACAAGGTAATCTACAGAATAAAACTAAATTACTTCCTAGTATTGAGGAGGCGTGGAGCCTACCAATCCCTGCAGAGCTTACCTCCAGGCAGGGTGCCATGAACACAGCACAGCAGGTGAGAAGATATCTTCCGTAGGTGCCCAGCTTTTAACCGTTTTTCATTTTTATAATAATCAAAAACTTATTTTACTGAATAGTTTATTAGAGTCTTTAACATGTGAAGTCCTTTAAATTAAAATATTTAATTGTGAAGGAATTTTAGATCAATATGGAACTCCCTTTGATTTGGGAATTTACTTGGGGTTAACATTTTAAAACTTTTATGTATGTTCATGATTTGGAAGAGATAGCTATTGGAAAGAGGTTTCTCGATTTAGAAACTTTTTTTTTTTTTATTGGTTTTATGAGACAGGGTTTCTCTGTGGTTTTGGAGCCTGTCCTGGAACTAGCTCTGTAGACCAGGCTGGTCTCGAACTCACAGAGATCCACTTTCCTCTGCCTCTGAGTGCTGGAATTAAAGGTGTGTGTCAACTTTCCTGGCTTTGAAACAGTTTTTTAAAGGAGCTAATATTTGTCCCATGATAATTATAAATGAATATAATCATATTCTTACCTTAAAATCTGGGATTTTTTTTAAACTTAAAATACTGATGATTCAAATATTGGACCTGTATTAGACTCTAGTCATATACCATTGTCACAGCAATACTTGTTACACTCAGATTAAAATGACTTGCTCACTTCTTCCAAAACCAAACCAAAACAAAACAAACAAAAAACAACAAAACAACACTTCCACGTAAGGTGTAACAGATATAAGTTCGTCCCAGAAACTAAAGCAGTACATTTGTTTCTGATAATCCTTGCATTAGATTATATACAGAAGAATGAGATAAACTTATGTTCATTAGTACTTTTTTCAGATTTTACTGCTTTTTACTTATTATCAATTTATTATTATTGCTATTACTGTTACTATTACTATTACTACTCAAGTCTAGTTTCTTGAGTTCTCTATATATTTTGGAGATCACACCTTTGTCTGTTGTGGGGTTGGTGAAGATATTCTCCCCGTCAGTAGGTTGCCTTTGTGTCTTAGTGACAGTGTCCTTTGCTTTACAGATGCTTCTCAGTTTTAGTAGGTCCCATTTATTCAATGTTGCCCTTAATGTCTGTGCTGCTGGGGTTATACCTAGGAAGCGATCTCCTGTGCCCATCTGTTGTAGGGTACTTCCCACTTTCTCTTCTAACAGGTTCAGTGTGTTCAGGCTGATATTGAGTTCTTTAATCCATTTGGACTTGAGTTTTGTGCATGGTGATAGATATGGGACTATTTTCATTCTTCTACAGGTTGACATCCAGTTGTGCCAGCACCATTTGTTGAAGATGCTTTCTTTCTTCCATTGCATACTTTTGGCTCCTTTATCAAAAATAAGGTGTTCATAGGTTTGTGGGTTAAAATCTGTGTCTTCTATACGATTTCATTGGTGGACTTCTCTGTTTTTATGCCAGTACCGCACTGTTTTCGTTACTGTAGCTCTGTAATAGAGTTTGAAGTCAGGGATGGTAATGCCTCCAGAAGATCCTTTATTGTATAGGATTGTTTTGGCTATTGTGGGTTTTTTATTTTTCCATATGAAGTTGATTATTGTCTTCTCCAGATCTGTGAAGAATTTTGATGGGACCTTGATGGGGATTGCATTGAATCTATGAATTGCCTTTGGAAGAATTGCCATTTTTTCTATGTTGATCCTCCCAATCCAAGAGCAAGGGAGGTCCATCCATTTTCTGGTATCCACTAGAATTTCTTTCTTTAAGGCCTTAAAGTTCTTGTCAAATAGATCTTTCACTTCCTTGGTTAGATTTATCCCAAGATACTTTATGCTATTTGTGGCTATCGTGAAGTTTGAAGCTTTTCTGATTTCCCTCTCTGCTTCCATATCCTTTGTGTATAAGAGGGCGACTGATTTTTTGGAGTTGATCTTGTATCCTGCCACATTACTAAAGGTGTTTATCAGCTGTAAAAGTTCTTTGGTGGAGTTTTGGGGGTCACTTATGTATCATATCATCTGCAAATAACGAATGTTTAACTTCTTCCTTTCCAATTCGAATCCTCTTGATCCCATTATGTTGCCTTATTGCTATTGCTAGAACTTCAAGCACTATAGTGAAGAGGTATGGAGAGTGTGGACAGCCTTTTCGTGTTCCTGAATTTAGTGGGATGGCTTTGTGTTTATCTCCATTTAATTTGATGTTAGCTGTCGGCTTGCTGTATATAGCTTTTATTATATTTTGGTATGACCCTTGTATCCCTAATCTCTCCAATACTTTTATCATAAACGGATGTTGAATTTTGTCAAATGCTTTTTCAACATCTAATGAAATGATCATATGGTTTTTTTCTTTCAGTTTATTTATATGCTGGATTACATTGATAGATTTTCATATGTTGAACCAGTCCTGCATCTCTGGGATGAAGCCTACTTGATCATAATGGATAATTTTTCAGATGTGTTCTTGGATTAGGTTTGCGAGTATTTTGTTGAGGATTTTTGCATCGATGTCCATGAGTGAGCTTGGCCTGTAATTCTGTTTCTTGGTTGAGTCTTTGTGTGCTTTTGGTATCAGAAAACTGTAGCTTCATAAAAGGAATTTGGTAATGAACCTTCTTTTCTATATTGCGGAGTACATTAAGGAGTATAGGTATTAGCTCTTCTCGGAAGTTCTGGTAGAATTCCGCATTGAAACCATCTGGTCCTGGGCTTTCTTTGGTAGGGAGGTTTTTGATAACAGCTTCTAATTCTTCGCGACCAACAGGTCTATTTAGATTGTTCACCTGGTCCTGGTTTAACTTTGGTATATGGTATTTATCTAAAAAAGTTTACATTTCTTTTACATTTTCTAGTTTTGTGTTATACAGGCTTATGTAGGAAGATCTGATGATTATCTGAATTTCCTCTGTGTCTGTGGTTATGTCCCCCTTTTCATTTCTTATCTTATTAATTTGCGTATTCTCTCTCTGCCGTTTGATTAGTTTGGATAGGGTTTTATCAATCTTGTTGATTTTCTCCAGGAACCAGCTTTTTGTTTCATTGATTCTTTGGATTGTTTTCTGTGTTTCTATTTTGTTGATTTCCACCCTCAGTTTGATTATTTCCAGTCTCCTACTCCTCCTAGGTGAGTCTGCTTCTTTTTTTTTGAAGAGCTTTCAGGAGGGCTGATAAGCCTCCAATATGTGCTTTCTCTGTGTTCTTTTAGTGGGCACTTAGTGCGATGAACTTTCCTCTTAGCACTGCTTTCATAGTGTCCCATAAGTTTGAGTAGGTTGTTTCTTTATTTTCATTTAATGCAAGGAAGACTTTAATTTCTTTCTTTATTTCTTCCTTGATCCAGGTTGGTTCAGTAGTTGACTGTTCAGTTTCCTTAATTCTTAGGCTTTCTGGGGGTAGCTTTGTTGTTGAATTCTAACTTTAATCCATGGTGATCTGATAAGACACAGGTGGTTACTTATATTTTATTGTAACTGTGTAAGTTAGCTTTGCTACTGAGTATGTGGTCAATTTTCGAGAAGGTTCCATGAGCTGCAGAGAAGAAGGTATATTCTTTCCTCTTTGGGTGGAATAATCTATAGATGTCTGTTAAGTCCATTTGTTTCATTACCTCCATTAATTCTCTTCTTTCTCTGTTTGGTTTCTGTCTGATTGACCTGTCCATTGGTGAGAGAGGAGTGTTGAAGTCTCCTAATCTTAGTGTGTGCGGTTTGATGGCTGCCTTGAGATTTAGCAATGTTTCTTTTATGTCGTGGGTGCTTTTATATTAGGGTCGTAGATATTCAGGATTGAGACTTCATCCTGATGAATTGTTCCTGTTTTGAGTATAAAATGTCCCTCTCCATTTCTGCTGATTGATTTAAGTTTGAAGTCTACTTTGTTAGAGATTAGTATGGCCACACCTGCTTGTTTCTTAGGTCCATTTTCTTGATAAGCATTTTCCCAGCCCTTTACTCTGAGTAGGTGCCTGTCTTTGTGGTTGAGGTGTGTTTCTTGTAAACAGCAGAATGTTGGATCCTGTTTTCGTATGCAATATCTTAGCCTGTGCCTTTTTATAGGTGAGTTGAGTCCATTGACATTAAGTGATATTAATGCTCATGGATGTTAACTCTGGTCACTTTTTTAGTCGTAGGGTTTGTGTGTTTCCGTTGTTTGATTTGAGCTGGTGAAGGGTCTCTAGATGTCTGAGTTATTGTGGTCATTGTTGGATTCCTTCGTTATTGATTTTCCTTCTACATTTTCTGTAAGGCTGGATTTGTGGCTACGTATTGTTTAAATTTGTTTTTATCCTGGAAAATTTTGTTTTCTCCATTTATAGTGAATGAAAGCTTGGCTGTGTACAGTAGTCTGGGCTTCCATCCATGGTCTCTTCGTTTCTGCAGTACATCTATCCAGGACCTTCTGGCTTTCATGGTTTCCATAGAGAAGTCAGGTGTCAGTTTGATAGGTTTACCTTTACAAGTAATTTGGCCTTTTTCCTTTGCAGCTCTTAATATTCTTTCCTTATCTGTATACTTTGTGTTTTGGTTATTATATGGCAAGGGGATTTTTTTTTTTGATCCAGCCTATTCGTTGTTCTGCATACTTCGTGAACCATCATATGTACATCTTTCTTCAGGTTGGGAAAGTTTTCTTCTATAATTTTATTAAGTATATTTTCTGGACCGTTGAGCTGTACTTCTCCTTCTTCTACTCCAATTATTTTTAGGTTTGGTCTTTTTATTGTGTCCCATATTTCCTGAATGTTTGTGAAGAGAGTTTGTTGGACTTGCTGTTTTCTTTCATCAGTGCATTTATTTTCTCTGTTTTCTTCAGAATATGAGATTCTTTCTTCTATCTTGTATTCTGCTGGTTATGCTTGTTTCTGTAGTCTCTATGCATTTACCTAGATTTTCCATGTCCAGCCGGCCCTCTGTTTGTGTTTTCTTCTTTGCCTCCATTTCAGTTTTCAAGTCTTGAACTGTTTCTATTATCTGCTTAATTGTTTTTCCTTGGTTTTCTAGGGTATCATTCACTGATTTACTCAATTCTTCAAACTTTCAGTTATAATTCTCATCCATTTGTATAAAGGCATTTTTTACATGGTGTTTAAGGGCCTCTATCACTTTCACAAAGTCAGTTTTTCTACTTCTTCTTGATTAAAGTGTTCATGTCCTCCTGTTGTGAGGTCGCTGGGTTCTGGTGGTTTCATGTTGTTTTTCAGATTGTTGGGTGAATTCTTGCATTGGCGCCTGCCCATCTCTTCCTCCGAATTGTCTCCTATGGATCTTCTTTTACAGGATCAGGTCTCCTTGCCTACTGATGTACCGTCCCAGTGTCGGGGCTCTCCAGTGATGACTCTCCTTGTGCTCCAGTGATGATCTCCGTGCTGGTTGGGTAGCTCGTAAACAAAGTGCCTACCTTGCTTGCTGCTTGCAGGCTATGGAGACAAAGGAACTACTGCCCTCCTCTTTGCCCTCCCGATTCGGCTTCGGTCCCAGCACCCAAGCAGGCTGAGCTCGAAGGTGCTATGCTGCCAAAGAAGGGAGGGGGGGGAAGACAGGGGGTGGGGGGATCTGGATGTAAGCTGGATGGGATGGGGAGAGAAGGTATTGGGCGGTGTAGCCCCTGCCTCAGCAACTTATTTTATTAGACAATCTGATCCAGGCATTAGGCCAGACGCAGAGCTGAGATTGAACCTCCAGTATAATTATTAAATTTGACTTTTGAATGTGAAATACAATAAACCAAACATCAGCAGATGATCTGTCTGGGAAATGAAAGCTAGCAAATCATTTTCTTCAAAGCCTGTAGTTTAGAAGAAATGGCCTCCTGGCCATGACTGGACCTTAAAATATGAGATGATTAACAGAAACAACAGCATATATGGGAACCTAAATATGATGTCACATTAAAGTGTAGAGAGGCTTTCTTTTTTTTTTTTTAAAAAAAGCCTTCCTAACAGCTGCCATGAGATGGCAAGTGTTAAGGTTGGAGAACCAATCCAGTCTTAAATCCAGAACTAAGAAAAATCAGTTTTACAAATTTTCGGGGTTGGTGGGAAATATGACATCGCATGATATAGGTTCACCATAGTGCACAAAATTAAGAACACAGAGGAGCAAGTATTGGTTAAAATTAGTCATTGATGTTAGGCTATAGCAGTGTTCTGAATTTTCTATGACGTGGAAAGTTGCAGGGATGTCTTCCCTGATCTCTTCAAATGGTACAAGATGGCTTTTTAAAGAGTGGAATGCCTTTAGGAGGTAGACAAGTATTAGCTTACGAAAAATTATACAGGGGCAAAAGTCAAGTTAATATCATCAATTTTGCCTTGTAGGTAATGTATTTCCTTAGGCAAAATAATCTTTTGTCTTATAAACCTCAGGTGAAAAAAGATCTTAAGAGGGCAATATATCATAAACCAATGATGTTAGATTATACTCTTGTACACTGTAAAGATTTGTCACTCATATTGGTTTAATAAAATGGTGACTGGCCAGTAGCCAGATAGGAAGTATAGATGGGACAACCAAATTAGAAAAATTCTGGGGAATAGGAAAGCCATATGCAGAGGAAGCAAGATGAAAATGTACCAAGCCATGTAGCTAAACATAGAAAATAATTATGGATTAATTTAAGTCGTAATGTCTAGTTAGTAATATGCCCAAACAAATTTAAGTTGTAAGGGCTTGTTAGTAATAAGCCTGAATAGGCCAAACAGTTCATAATTAACATAACCCTCGATGTATTAATTTGTGACTGAATGGCTGTGGGAATGTGAGGGACAGAAAGTTCTGTCTACAAGCTAATGTAAAACCAAGACACAGAAAAGTACATCCAGAAAAGTTCTTAAGAAACATGGATTTAAGCTCTGTCAAATAAACTACTTTCTAAAATAGTGGTTCACAAGCTGTGGCTCATGACCCCATTGTGGGTTAACAACCCTTTTACAGGGGTCTCTTAAACAAATTTGAAGTAACAATGAAATGCAAATTTGAAGTAACAATGAAAAATTTTTTATGGTTATGGATCACCATAACATTAAGAAATGTATTAAAGAGTTGCAGCATTAAGAAGGTTGAGAATCATTGTAACTCTTTTGTATCTTTTAATAGGAGAATGAGCCTCATCTTCAATGATAGCTACCTGTCAAGATGTTTCGAAAGTGCTCAGTTAATATGTCTCAGTAAAAATGATTTTAGATAACCATCAGGCACTCTGGTTTTGACACTAGGTTTTGACAGGAGAAATTTTAAGTGTTTAACATGGTGATTGGATTTGTTCTTTTGCTTTGTTACAACTGAACCCTCTTTTTAAAATTAAACTTTAGTAACCAGTGCTAATAGAAATGTTCAAAACACCTGTCTATGCAAAACCAGTCTAATCTTAAAAATTAATTATTGGAAAAAAAGATTACAGCTAAAGTAGCTAGGACAGTGCTAGTCATTTGTAGATCTGTCAAGGAAAAAAAAACAAGGTATGTGAAACTAGACACTGGTTTTCCAGGAATTGTATAAGCAGTAATGTACAAGAGACACTCAAAATATATAAGCTGCTCAAAGAAGCTTAGACCAGCTAAATGATCTGGAAGACACACTAAGTACAGGCCGTGCAGTGTGCTCTAGGTTTTGGATGGGGTGGGTAAGTCATTTCTGCTACAAGTTAATTAATCTCTGTAGTTAATTGTAAGTTAACCTCAAAGCACTACATCAGTTCACCAAGTTAGATTCTTGTGGTCTCATTATTTTGGTCTGTGGCTGTTTCCTTATCAAGAGTGAGTAACTGCTTGCTCTTGACTTCCCAAGAATATTGTGTCTCAACATACTAAGTTATATCCTTAACTTTTTCCTTGAAAAACAAAGAGCTGTGAGTCACAAAACAAAAATAACATCTCTGCTGGTGGTGTTGGTGGTGGTGATGCCTTTCATCTCATGAAAGTACCATGGAAATACAAAAGGGCTGAATGTGGATATTTATTCCTTTTTGTCCCACATGAAACAAAATATTAAGAATTATTTGGATTACTGAACAGAGAAGAAATCTGCAAATGACCATGAACAAAGGGGGTAATATTTTCAAAAATTTTATCAATAATTTGCCGTTTTTTAGATTAAGGTACATTCTGGCCCATTCTGTTTAACAATGGGCCAAGGAATATATCAACTATATCAAACAGGCACATCAAGTTACAGGTTAAAGACTATGGTCATTTGAAGTATTAGTTGTATAAAATGCCTATTAACTAATTCAGTGTTCATGGTAGTTTTTAACTGCACAACTGTTATTAGTAATAAGAATTCACCATATAAAAGTATGATTACAAAAGGAAATTTAAATAGTAGTAATAATTTTGTTTTTTTTTAATGGAGCAAATCTTTATACTAGAGCTTAATGTGTCTGAAATGTTAGGTCAATGTCACACCAGAGCATGCTATGAATAAAATTAAATGTATAGTCTGTGAAAATGTGTAGATATTAATAAAGCACCAAGAAATAAAACAGAATAAATTTTCCCAATCTTTATTTATGAATCCAGCAAAATTTCTACAAAGCGGCAAAATTTTCATTAAGTATGTTGTATTGCTTGTGGAAATATTTAGTGTGAAGAGAGCTTCCAAAATACTATATATAATAAAAAGTTACCACTTTAAAAATAGTACTAATCTGAGAATCTTAAATAAGAAACAACAACTCAGAATTATTTTAATTAAGTAGTTTCTGTTTTAACTGAAGCCTCTCCTCTATCTCAAAAGAACAGATTTTATGAATGGACAAAGAAAAATGGTGCTTCGAAGCATGACTGAGGATAACAAGAAAATAAGCCAGATATTTTGGAAAATGACAATTCAAAATGTTGTGGAATCTGATGATAGCCATTTAATTATAAGACTGAGGAAGCACGCTTAGAAGCCTAATCTAATAAACTCTACAAAATAATAAAAAAATCAGTACAGTTCCTCTACAATAGAAAAATATCAAGTACAGCTCTTCTATTATGCTTCTACACATTGTAGTAAAGCAAAAAGATGCATATTCGTTACTTTTTTGAGAATGAGAATTAATGTCAAATAATATATTTTGTACATTTTATCTTTTGCACACTAGTACTGGCATTCATCATAAAACACTATACATATTCCACAGTAGGTGATTTATATAATCACAATAAACACAACAAATACTTCCAACTCCATGTTTATTTGGAATCTCTTTTTATACTTTTAAATACTAAACAGGCACAGAAAAAGCTCTGCATATAAGGCCAAAATGCATTGACACAACAAACCAGTTATTTATTTGTGTGTCACTGATCCTTTGTTAGGGGTGAAGATACTTCTTCATTGCTTTCATAAGTTTCTTGTGGTTCATCGTTTTTCTGAGGGTTATTCAAGAGATGTGCTCCTCGATTTGAATATGGCTGTTCAGGTACATAATTCTAGGAGGGGAAAGAAATTTTCAGCTCAAACTTTTCAAATATTACAATTTAAAATTTAAACCATATGTTCAAGCTTTGTAAAGCAGATTTAAAAATGTTACTACAACCTGTTTTATTAAATTCACGTAGTTGTTAAACAAAGAACTTACAGACTGCTTCCTATGTTAAAGTCCCATCTGAAAAAGTAAGTATATATAAATCTTTGAACAATTTTCTTTGTTTTATATTTATAGAGAGGAAGCATTTAAGACTTTTCTATGTCTAACTCTGATAAAAATAAAGGCATTCCAAGTATGGCTCTTATAGCATCACTGGAGAACTTGCCAAACATGTCTGTTTTGGAGAAAGAATTTTCCTATGTAGATCAGGATGGTTTCAGCTAGAATATTTCCACAGCTGTATGTGGGAAATATGAAAACTACAGTCATGCACCATCATTTATAGAGTCAGAACATAAAATCTTTAAGGTTCTAATTAAGTACTTTCAAGCCACGGTTAGACTACATTTGAGAATGACTTTCTTAAAAGAACTGAACTATATAACACTCTTGGCTTAATATTATGACTGTCTTTCCAGAAGTGCCTCTTCCTGAAATCTTTTTTAAAAAATCTCATAAAACTGTTCAATCCGTAGTTAACTATTTTTTTTTATTTTTCTTTGTTTCATGTTTCCCAGGCTGGCCTTGGACTTGTAATGTGTCCAGATGTTAACTCTCCCTAGACCTAGCTAAATTGTTCTAATGTATGAATTCCATTAATGAAAAACAAATAGAAGAATAATCTAAATTTTACATAATCACAATACATGGACATTGCCTTATAAATCAGTAACTTTTCATTCATGTTTTTACGTCTTTTATCAACTAATGTCTTTTAACTTATTTCTTACCTTTTCTGGCAACAGGTCACAGGCTTTTGCAAGTGTCATTTTTGCACTATGAGATCTCTCTAAAAAATAACCGTCTGATGTTTCATTGC